GGGTTAAAATTTTCGAAAAATAGTTGAAAACTCGCATCTGTATTAGTAAACAACCTGTAAAAAATTTGTTATTTGTACCTCGTTCGGTTTTCAAATTACAGCCAATTTTCATAATTTTTTTGGAAACTTTGATGGCCCATATCTCTTCAGGGGTGAACATTTTACTAAGGCGATTTTTTGCAGATCGTGTTCTGTTGAAATGTAGATTCACTAGTATCATTTATGCTACTCCATTCAAAAACACCCTGTATATAATTTGGCTTATTGTGAGCACCCTGTATGAGTGAAATCAATTAAACTGCATGGAAAAATTAATTAAAATTATGAAAAAATACCTTAAAAATATTTTCCACTGTTAATATAGGACACTGCAATGAGTGAAATTTTTCGAAGTTTGCACCTATTTTTTGAACACCCTGTAAAAGTTAATGAAATTTTGTATTTAGGGTTTTGAGTTGTGATCAAATCGAAAATGCTATCCATTTGTTTCTTTAAAAATGCCTAATATATTTTTTAATTTTTGAGGGTCTACTATCAGACCATAGAAAATATCACGTCAAAAATATAATATCAAAAAGTAGGCCCTTTTGAGTACTACCACATAAAAAGAAGAATTTTGAAAATCGGCCACCGCCATCCTAAATATGGAGGTGTTCCGACTTTCAGTGAAACACATTGTATATTCTTTTTTTAAGTTATATTCCATAACGCACGTTCTAATAATATTCACATAATTTTTACAACAAACACTGCATCTTTAGATACAAGTTAATTTAATTCGAAAAATGTTTTAATTTTTTCAAATTTCATCACAACTATCAACACCTAAATTACATAAGGCGTAAATTTAGTGCGATATTAATGAACGTGAATGATGAAAAATTATATTGCCGTTACATACATTTGCATGGAATATACAAATAATATATGCATAAATTGTATAAACAATGAAAAGAGATAATGTTTCGTAAATTCCAATTAGGTAGACCAATAAAAATGTAAAACTAAATTATGTTAATCAATATATGTTTTAGAATTTATCTTTTTCAAAATTTATAATTATCAAAAAAATTTTTTACAAAAATTTTATTTTTGGAAAATTATTTTATAAAATAGACTACTAAAATAATGATTTTTTTCTTATTTCGATTGCTTTAATACATTTGCTTTAATATTTATTGGATCACTCGGTAAAACTGCAAATAAAACTTTTGACTGTGTTTCAGTTCCACCAGCACTCGAATTTTCCGAGTTTTCCTCGGTATCAGNACTGACAAATTGTGATACTGGAGGGGTAAATTATTAATAACATAAGAAGCTAAATACGAAAATGAATTTTTAAATTTTTCAGTTTTATGGGAAGGAATACACGCTTTGCTGCTCAGTGATCTCAAATTTTTAGTATGTGTTTGAGATCTTCATTTTATTTTATCACATAAATATGTAGGTTTGATATTTTTTAAAATATTGAGTATAAAACTGGCAAAATGAACAAGTCTCCTCTCATACATGCTCAACAAATTGAAGGAGCGTGAATATGGAGTTATGTGACTAAACTGGGGGACATTCGCAATAAAACGGACGCAACAATTCTGTATTTTTTGCAAACGGTGTTTATTTTCTTGAGAAAAGCAGGGGCCATATATAACATCAGCATAATTGAAATGAGATAAGACTAAAGATTCAGTAAGTAAAATTTTGGTCTGAGGATTTAGATACTTTTTAAAGCATTGCAACTGTTTTAACGATAGAAAAGCTTTCTTACAGATAACGGTTACATGATTCGAAAAAGTCAACTATGAATCAAAAGCCAGGCCAAGATTTTTAACAACATTGACTGCAGGAATATTTTCATTGTTAATTAAAACAGGNTTTAACATATGTTTAACGGTTGTCACTGACAAATTGTGATACTGGAGGGGTAAATTATTAATAACATAAGAAGCTAAATACGAAAATGAATTTTTAAATTTTTCAGTTTTATGGGAAGGAATACACGCTTTGCTGCTCAGTGATCTCAAATTTTTAGTATGTGTTTGAGATCTTCATTTTATTTTATCACATAAATATGTAGGTTTGATATTTTTTAAAATATTGAGTATAAAACTGGCAAAATGAACAAGTCTCCTCTCATACATGCTCAACAAATTGAAGGAGCGTGAATATGGAGTTATGTGACTAAACTGGGGGACATTCGCAATAAAACGGACGCAACAATTCTGTATTTTTTGCAAACGGTGTTTATTTTCTTGAGAAAAGCAGGGGCCATATATAACATCAGCATAATTGAAATGAGATAAGACTAAAGATTCAGTAAGTAAAATTTTGGTCTGAGGATTTAGATACTTTTTAAAGCATTGCAACTGTTTTAACGATAGAAAAGCTTTCTTACAGATAACGGTTACATGATTCGAAAAAGTCAACTATGAATCAAAAGCCAGGCCAAGATTTTTAACAACATTGACTGCAGGAATATTTTCATTGTTAATTAAAACAGGAAAGTTATCCAGACCTCGCAATTGAGGTGATGTTCCAAATAGAATGTTTTGACTTTTATTAGGATTAACTAATAAAGTATTTTTTATGGTCCAGTCATGAATTAATTGTAAGTCATTATTAATAACTGCTGTGGCCATATTTAAATTAGAAGGCTTAAAACTATAAAGGAGTTGTATATCGTCAGCGTACATATTTAGTTTATAATTCAAAGGAATTCTCGACAAATCTGCTGTAAACATGTTAAACAAAAGTGGTCCTAATATAGATCCCTGAGGAACACCAGAACCAACTGATCTATAAGGTGATGTTAGAATCGAGGAATCTGTATTTAATCTAGTATATTGTTCTCTACCGTGTAAGTAATTACAAAACCAGCACAATATATTGCTAGAAATACCATAATAA